ACTCATGGAAATGTATACATTTCATGTCAATTATGTGCAGTTCTTGGCAGTACGCTAAGTACTCCAACTGGTGATCTCTATACTTGGAGGACTCTCAGAAAGAGGCAAAGGGCTCAAGGAAAAGGACCAGGGTTGGCCTCCAGCAGCCCCAGCCTCCACTGTCCAAACTGTTATTTGTAGGTGTTAAGGGTGACAAAGTGCACATCCCATAGTCACTCCCTTTGAAAAGCCCACACCCTACCTGTAAGCCATATCCAGGGACTTTGGACAAAACAGGAAAGGAATTTGCCGTCTTCCTTTGCGATCTAAGAGATTAAAACACACACATTCGCTGAAGAAGAAAAGGCGCATGAGCCCAGTCTGAAGCGCTGCTGCTGGGACACATGGCCCCTCCCAGGGCCCAGCTATTGCTTCCGTGGCTTGGCAGCGCCCTTCTCTATTTGGACTGTCTTTGCTGGAAGACGCCTCAGCACAGTCGGGTTTCTCCTGTGAAGAGCCGTGGGCAGAGCTCACAGCCTCAGCGCCTGAACACATTCTCTTCTCACCTCACACTGCTATTCTGGGGACTAATCGTGAGTCAGCAGCACCACAGCTGACTGTCCCTGTGGGAAGATGCAGAATGGACCCACATGGTCCCATTAATCTCTTTTCTTAAAAGAAGAGGGAGAGAGAGACTACAGAATAGCCTCCTCAGGACCAAGGACTCAAGCTGAGATGGAAGAGTCTTGTCAGAGTTCTGACCTAAGCTCTGGGAGGCTAATGTCCGCTTATCCAAGAGGGCACCAACAGACACAGACTTACTATCTCCAAGGGATTCTAACGCCAGAGGCCAAGCTCTGTGGTGCAGAGGGCACATCTGCATGCTTCCCATTGACAGCCGAGCACTGGACAGCTCGTGGCTCAGGACAGGCGCTCAGCTCCTCCCGTGGGATAGACGCATGGGAAAGAAGGCTGTGCTGAGGGCGCTGGTGCCACCCACCTGCCCTGGCCCTGCTCCTCCTCACTGCTGGAGCGGTCGCTACTCGAGCTTCTGTGTTTGTGTTTCTTGTGCTTCTTCTTCTTCTCCTTCTTTTTCTTCTTCTCCTTCTTTTCAAGACTCATTTGCAACTAGGAAATGTCCAGAAGATAACCACATGAGACGACGGAGGCCCCTGCTATACCTGGTGTAGGGAATGGCTCACATCCACACTGGGCCCAGGACACGATCAAGGTATCCATGTTGGGCTCAAATGTACCCCAGACCCCCTAGTAAAAAAAAAAAAAAAAACAACTCTGATAAGTGAGCAAGGGCAAGGAATACACATTTAAAAATTATTATTATTGGGGGCTGGAAAGATGGCTCAGCAGTTAAGAGCACAGGCTGTTTTTCCAGAGGACCCGAGTTCAATTCCCAACACCCACATGGCAGCTCACAACTGTCTGTAACTCCTATCCAACACCCTCATAGAGACATACATGCAGGCAAAACACCAATGTACATAAAATAAAGATAAATAAAATATTTTAAAATTATTATTATTCCTTTGAGACAAAGTCTAACTATGTGCCTCTGGCAGGCCTCTGACTCATTTGTTAACTGCACTTGTCACCAAGCCTGACAACTTGAATTCAATTCTCAGGATTATTCACATGCCATAGCGTGCGCGCACAAACACACACACACACACACACACACACACACAAATAAATGGAAAGAAAGAGAGAGAGAGAGAGAGAGAGAGAGAGAGAAAGAAAGAAAGAAAGAAAGAAAGAAAGAAAGAAAGAAAGAAAGAAAAAAGCTGGGCAGTGGCGGAGCAGGCCTTTAATCCCAGCGCTCCAAAGGCAGAAGCAGGTGGAGCTCTGTGAATTTGAGACCAGCCTGGTCTACCCAGTGAGTTCCAGGACAGCCAGGGCTACAAAGAGAAACAACAACAACAACAACAACAAAAAGAAACTAAAATTCTTTCCCAATCAAAAAAAGAACTAAACCTTAATTAAAGTATTAAGTTAACCTTGCACAGAATCACCAGGAGATAGTATCTACAAAACAAAATTTTCGGTGTTGGAGAGATGGCTCATTGGTTAAGAGAACCCACTGCTTTTCAGAGGACTTGAATTCTATTCTCAGTATCCACATCCAGCAATTCACAAAAGCCTCTAACTCTAGCCTATAAGTGAGACTCTCTGCGCCCACATACACACATAATTAGAAATAAGCCTTTAAAAACATGTAAGCCTAGTAGTAATCCTTCCACTCAGGTTGAAGGAGGAGGACTCAGTTCCAGACTGACCTGGGCTACAAAATAAATCCTGTCTCAAGAACACAGAAAAAAGTTATAAAAGCCAGTCCAGCTGGGCAGGGGTGGTGCATGCCTTTAATCCCAGCGCATGGGAGGCTGAAGCAGGCCAGCCTGGTCTACAGAGCAAATTCTAGGACAGCCAGGACTACATAGGGAAATCCTGTTCTTGACCAAAAAAATAAAAGCAGCAGCAACAGCTAAAGGGGCCGGGGGGGGGGGGGGGGGGGGGGGGGAGGTGGAGAAGCAGCTCTGCACTAGAGCACTCACTGGCTGTTTTTCCAAAGGACCGGGTTCACCTTCCAGCATCCACACACACCTCCCAACCATCTACAGTTCCAGCGGATGCCTGCTTCCTGCCTCCTCAGGTACCACGCATGCATGCAGTGCAAACACACATGCAGGCAACCCCCCAACACACACACACACACACACACACACACACACACACACACACATATATCTTGGGGAGGAGTCAATGCAGGACTTACCAGCTCTTTGATTTTCTTCATTTTCACGGGATTGTTCAGTACTTCTCTTTTTTTCTCCTCCTCTTTCTTCCTACATAGAAGAATTTTAATGGCTCTTTCTTTGCAAAGGGAATTATGTTATCCTCCTCACCAAATTCTATTTAATAACCTCATGCACAGGCCATCCAGGGCTACACAAAGAGACCCTGTGCCTAAAACAGCAAAAACAAAAAACAAACAAACAAACAAACAAAACCTCCCAAATCTCACAGACATAGACTTTACAGTGCAATCTACAGGGGAGAGTAGAAACAAGAAAGCTCCAGCACACAGTAACTGTGGACAGCATCCACGGGGAGACACTGTAATACATGACAGTGAGTTCAATCTGCTTCTCATTTGGCTCCACGTTCAAGGCTTCCCTCATGCTTAAGGAATCGGGTGTGGACCTGTGAATCTACTGGCTGGGACATTTCAAAAACAACCTCCGCTGCTTAGCATAAAAACAGCCTCATCGTCTAGGAAATAAAGACAACAAAATGGTTCTTCGTTTGGGAAGAGAGAGTGTGTGTGCATGTGTGTGCACGCACACAAGCCTAAGGACCTTAAATTCTACCTCCCAGAATCCATGTATAAAAGCTGAGTGAGGGGGCTGGCGAGATGGCTCAGCAGTTAAGAGCACTGGCTGCTCTTCCAGAGGACCCGGGCTCAATTCCTAGGACCCACATGGCAGCTTATAACTATAACTCCAGTCCCAGGGGACCTGACACCCTCACACAGACATACATGCAGGCAAGACACCAATGCACATAAAACAACAATAACTAAATCATTTAAAAAAAAAAAAAAAAAAAACTTTTGGGAGGCAAAAGCAGGTAGATCTCTGTGAGTTTGAGACCAGCCTGGTCTACAAAGTGAGTCCAGGACAGCGAAAGCTACACAGGGAAACATTTTCTCAAAAAACAAAACAAACAAAAACCTTGCGGCCAAACCCATCTACCTGAGGTCATATTCTTAAGGCCCATGTGGTGAAAGGAGAGAACCAACTCCCCAAAGTCCTCTGACCTCCACACATACCATAGTATGTACACACGTGTGAGAATGCATGTATACGTGCACACACACAATAAGGCGGAGAGTGATTGAAGGTAGAGAGTGATTTGGGGAGCACAGCCAGCAGCAGTGAGCTACACTCTTTCCTAAGCTCCACTGTCTGGCCCAAGGCTCTGCTGGCCTTCCTGAAGAGGCCTGCCAGGCACCAGGAGCATCCAGGAGGGGTGTGATTTTTGCCAGCGGCAGACAGTTTGTGTTCAGAATCCTGGGGACCCTTGAGAGGGTCTAAATTCGAGAGCCCTAAGAGGGCCTGTGGTGGCCACTGTCCCCAGCTGCTGCTGGTTCCTGCTGCTGCTTTTGCTCCTGCTGGACGGCTGGACTGCTGTTTGTAGTGTTCTGACGAAGACTGCCCCAAGGAACCTGATGCCCAGTCAGCAGTCATCTAAGGAGGTAGACACCCTTTCCCTCTAACCTTCTCTCGCCTAACCAGTGTTGGGAGGTTGGAAAGGACTGGGGTGAAGAAGGGTGGTAGATATACGAACCCAAATAAAAGTAGCCAGAAGATCCAGCTTAAAAATAAAACAAAACAAAGAAAACCCTCTAACCCAAAAAAAAAGGGGGGGGGGGGGGGAGGAAGGAAGGAGACAGAGAGAAAGAAAGAAAGAAAGAGAGCCATTTGATGTTGACTTCTAGGCCCCACAAACAGGTAAGCACACACATGCACATAAATACAGTAAACATAAAATACACACATCCAAAAATAAAATAGAAAAGCAAGGAACGGGCTGAAGGATAAGGGAATGAAGAGTCGCTTACTGGTTATATGACTGCAGTGGGAATGTAAATATGTATGCAGTTAAACGGGAACACGCATCTCATCGCCAACTCGATACCGATTCCCCAAATTTCCAAGGAACAACCAATGTTTGTCATCTTGCTTCTACCTTCTTTTTACTTTTAATAACATTTTTATAATTTTTATAATTTTTTATTTGTGCGTATGCGCACACGGACACACGTGCACATACGGGTGGGTGGGGGGGTGCACATGAGTATGAGTGCCTGTAGGTGACAAGGGGCTTTGGATCTCCCTGGAGCTGGAGTTACAAACAGCTCTAAACACTACCAGACACGGGACCCACACTCAGGTCCTCTGAGGGAACAATACATGCTCTTAACAGCACAGCCATCCCTTCCACCCCTCATTTTTGTTCAAGAGTTAAAGATGGTTGCACGCCTGTAATCTCAGCACTCAGGGAGGTGGATCTCTGAGTTTGGGGCCAAAAACGAATCCAGGACTGCCAGGATTACACAGAGAAACCCTGTCTCAAAAAGCAAAAAAAAAAAAAAAAAAAGTTAAAGATGGCTGGATGAATCTGGTCTGTCTTGGCGCACTTGCCAGTATCTTTCTATATGGCCTACAACAGGCACCCTTACAGGCGTTCTTCTCACCACCCAGAAGCACAAATGGAGACAGAAACACGGAAAGCAAGGGCAGCTACAAAGCAAGAGAAATAGCAGCCTTGAAAAAGTCCCCGAGCATCTCTGCAACAACTCTTCTCAATCCTCTAGTAGTACCTGATGATAAAGAGAGGGTCTTCCCGGATTTTGCTGGCCATGTCAAGAAGGGAGTTAGCGCCCGATGGGGCAAAGATAGATCCTGGGAGGAGTCCTGTCTCAGAAGAACAGCCTGCTTCCTTCTCGTCCATCTTCTCAAAAACGTACTTGTCAATGGGGCGGCCCAGCAGGTACTCATCACGGTTGACCATCCCGCCAGGGCCCTGGTACATCCAATCCAACTTTTCCTCTTTTTTCCTGGTTTAAGGAAGAAATAAAGTAAATAGATAGATACACACACACACACACACACACACACACACACACACACACACACACACGTTCATCCAAAGGGAGTGAATATAGATTCTGCCACGCTCCACAAAGAACCTAAGCTGATCAGCACTGGACGACCTCTGCAGGTACCTACTGCCAAACACCATTCCAGACTTGGCAGACAGGAAGAAATGATGCTTATAAACGAACAGAGAGACTTTCTACAAAGACCAATTAGTGAGGGAAAAACAGAACCCTCCAGCTAAGGCATGCGTCTCCACTTAGCTACCTAGCCTCCACTACCAAGCTTAGACATTATACTTTCATGTCAAAGACAATTCTAAAACGACAAACGCGCTCTGCCTCAGCACCCAGAACGACTTCAGCGATCCCACAGGTGCTGTGTTCGCTGCCTATCTTTGCACTTGGCACAGTGGCCCCCATGGTGCTACATGTTTGAGAAAAAAGGAGAAATGACCAGAGATATCTGTTGGGTAAATGATGCTTACACTTGAAGAAGACGAAGAAAAAGTAAATGACGCTTTAACACAAAAGGTGACCAAATGATGTCGCGTATCATGCTTAACATCGTTTCTTTCCTTGTAGGAAGAAAAAGTGGTGTAAAATAGAACCTTTACGTGACAGGCAGTAACAGGATGCTGAATTTTTATTTTCAATATAACTTTATGGGTATGAGTGTTTTACTTGCATGTATGCCTGTGTCCTGGGTGAGTGCTTGGCACCCTCAGAGGCCAGACGAGGGCAGTGAATTCCCTGGACATTCTAAATAAGAATAATTTAAAGCGAAACAAACATGACCATTTATAACTTTTTTGGCTATTAAAAGGATTGTCTGAAAAAGCATTAGTCTGTAATTAATAATTGATTGTGGCTGCTGGGTCAAACTGCAAATAGGCGCCCAGCTTATCCACAGTGCTGGAGTCAAGATGGAAGGTCCCACTGAATGCCGGGCTCTGGCAGACTGTGGAAGGCTACGAGGAGGGTGAACTTTACAGCGGGCGCCCACAGGCTTTCCTAATTCTCCACTGCGAGTAAACCACAGGCTAGGAGAGAGCTGGCTGGGCTCTCAAGGAGGAGCTGAGAATGATCCTAAACTTCTCACTCATATAGTCCTAGACTCTGCCCACCTGCCACCCACCTCACACACAGGAACTATCTTAAGAGAAAGCACATAAACACACAGTGATGATGCTACCCACTTTTGGTTTTGCTAAAATGAAGGTTCTCCATTCAAACTGCATACTAGGGCTGGAGAGATGGCTCAGTGGTTAAGAGCACTGTCTGCTCCTCCACAGGACCTGAGTTCAATTCCCAGCACCCACATGGCAGCTCACAACCGTCTATAACTCCAGTCCAAGGGGTTGTGACACCTTTATACCAATGCACAGAGAATAAATTAAATCAATTATTAAAAAAAGAAAAAGAAGAACTGTACACTAGGCTGGGCATGATGGCACACCTTTGGCCCCAGCACTTGGAAGCAGAGGCGGGCAGAGCTCTTGTGAGTTCGAAGCCAGCCTGGTCTACAAAGCAAGAAACCTTGTCTCAAAAAAACAGAAAAACAAAATCACAACAAAATTACATTCTACAGGTGTGGTGGCGCAAGCCTGTAATTCCAACACTCTGGGAGGCAGAGGGGGGTGGATCTCTGTGCGTCTGAGGACAAACTGGTATACAAAGGCCAGAACAGCCAAGAAACCCTGTCTTAAAGAAAACAAAACAAAAACCAAAAAAACTGCATACTAGCTTCACCCAGGGTGATTTTAAAATATTCAGATGGCCAGAAGGCACACCCTGATATATGTCAGCATTCAAAGGAGGTGGAGGCAGAAGGACCAGGGATTTAAGAGGTCCTGGGCTACATAGCATTTGAGGCCTGCATGCCATATAAAACTATCTCAAAAGAGTAAATAAACCAGGCCAGAAAGATGGTTCTGTGGATGAAAGCGTTTGCCACCAAGCCTGAGGACCGAGGTTCAATACCTGGAAACCATACAGAGGACTGAGAGGTACAACTCTAGCAAGCTGCCCTCTGACTTCCATGAGTGGCGTGTGCCACACATACCCACGGAACAGGGGATTTAGCTCAGTGATATGTGCTTGTCTAGCAAGAGCATGGCCCCGAGTTCAGTCCTCAGCTCTGGGGGTGGGGGACACTTCAAAACTGGCCAGAGAAGCCCCATCACAGATCCCCTTGCCTCTTGAAGTCCCTTGTACTTCACAGGAACTGGATGTCCTAGGGACTGCCCCGTCTTTGTTAATTTAATGCAACCGCTGCAACCTAGTAACGCTATCAGCAAATACTAAAGAGACACACTATCGCTCTGTGGTAGACTGCCTAGCATGCTTGAGGCCTTGGGTTTTATCCCCAGGTCCAGAAAGGGATCTGGAGATTTTACATTATGTGTAGGAGAGGTCTTCTTTGCTCTAAGAGCAATGCACTAAGAAACACAGAAAAGATACCTGAACCTGGGCTGAAGAGATGGCTCATTGGTTAAAAGCACTGGCTAAGAGCACTGGTTACTCTTCCAGAGGTCCTGAGTTCGATTCCTAACAACAACATGGTGGTTCACAACCATCTATAATGAAATCTGATGTTCTCTTCCGTCATGCAGGCACACATGCAAACACAGCACTCATATGTAAAATAGATAAATCTTAAAAGATCAATCAATGGTGTTCAACTGGATAAAGTCAAAGCATAGGGCTATACAAAGCATTCAAACCAGCCAGACGGACAAGTAGGTCATCTACAAAAGCCCCTACCAGCTGCTCAAGGTACTGCAGGGCTGGCCTTTCTGAGTTTTGAGTATATTTTTCCCTTCTCTCTTCTGCTTTTGTTCTGTTTTCTTTTCTTTTTCAGGCTAGCCAGATCCAAGTATGCTTTCTAGCTCTTTGGGCTCCCATATCTTTTTCTAGAGACCCCCGTCCCTGCCTTATAGCTGTTTATAGCCATAAAACTGACCTCCATAAAGGCTTATCCCAAACAGCACGGACTTTTCCTCCTCCTTTTCTACATTCTCCTCCTCTAGGCAACTGGGAAATTTATAGTTTGTCTGCCTGGGTTTAAAAATCTTAACAAATTGTCTTCAAACTTTAAAAAAAAAAAAAAAAAA